TGACAGATCTGTGTCCTTTTCTAGAAACTCTTCGGCTACGAGATGGCAGAATTTAAGGTCACCATCAAATTTCTGTGGAACTCTGAGACGGGAGTCTTCCAGAAGCTTGTGGGAGACACAGCAGAGGAGGAGGAGGAGGAGGAGGAAGAGGAGGATGACAATGATGATAGCAATGAGGACTAGGAACAGCCGTCATGCTTGGACAGCTCTACTCTGTTTTAGAGACAAAAAGAAGAGGATGTTTCCCTTCCCTGTCTGCACCAGGAAGACAAGGACGATCAGTGCAGATACACTCTTTATAAAAAGATGACCTAATTATGCTTTTTTAAAATATAAATTTATCTATAAAACTTGCGATGGTTGTCGCTGCTGCCTGTTACTGTTTGCCTACCCCAGGGTCTGAGGAAGTGGCCCATCAAGCAGGAAAGCCAGGCAGAAAGCGTGTAAATGTAGCACAACTGAGCCATAGCACACCCGACACCAGGGAAGTCCTTATCTTCTGATAAAAGCTTCAGAAAAAGTTATTTAGCTCCCAAGTCACTGAGCGCCAATAAGGAGGTGCCAGACAGGTCAGAGGTACAGTTAAGAGATAACACCTGCGTTAGGAAAAGGTTTAATTCTTTTACATAATTATTTAGGATCATGTTAAAGCAGAATTGGGGCCTTCATTCAGTTACGTGTCCATTCTCCCCGATCAGCCGCATCTTTTAAGTTGTAGTGTGTGCTGCACCGAGCTGAGGGCTGGTGAGGGGAGAAAGACTAAGGCACAGCCCAACACAACAAGTGCTGACAGTGGCAGCAGATCCTACAAAGCTTCGTTAATACGAGGGAGAAGAAAAAAAAAAAATCACAACCTATTTGCATGCCTATCAAAGGGGCAGGGGGGGCAAATTCTGCTCCCTGGGCTTGATTAACCACCCCCACCACTTGCTTCTCCCCACCCTGGTCTCTAGCGGAAATAGTTGGGGCAGTCGTGTGCCGTCAAGTTCCAGGCTTTATCAAACGCCTCCACGACGGCTGGGAGCAGGGGACCCTCTTCGCTGTAGTTAAGGTTCTGCTCTAGCTGCTCCAGGTTGGACATCCCAACGATCACTGCATCGCCAAGAGAACCCTGGAAAGCAATCAGAGCTGTTGTTGATCCCAAAAGAAAGCCAGTTCACCTCCGGAGCCAAACTTTAAATGCTTCTTTCCAGTAGGGAATATCCGGTAACTCCCGGACATTTAGACAACTGACATCGTGACGCTCTGTTCCCAAGGGCCGAACATCTCTGAGTCACACCAACTCCTCAAAAGCTGCCAAATCCTACTTTACACAGGGCTACGGGAAGGTTTTGGAGAGATGGGGAATACAATATAATATAATATTTCCTAGACTGATGAAAAGCGAGGTCATTTGCTCGCAGGGAAGCTGTCTGGGCGGGAAGCCAAGACCCCAGTAATGGGCACTTAAAATCTTCCACTTCTACCGATCCTGTGAACACAGGATTACTGTGGGGAAATACGGAGCTGACTCACTCCTACCGCCTGGCAGGCCGAGTCCGGCTGGGAACATTCCCCTTGGAAGGCCCTGAGCCCATGGGATACGCTGATTAAAAGATAACTCTTTGTATGCAGACACGTCTGTGCACAGCGGTGCTGTGTGGGCTGACGGCCACACCAAGCTCTTACCTGCAGTTTGGAGTGATTGTACAACCAACGCAACGCTGCAGAGGTGGGGCTCGGCGCGTTGGAGCCATAAGCATCTTTCAGAGCTTTTTCTACTAGGGCAATTCCTTCGAAATTGTGTTTTTTCCAGTATCTGCAAGAAGAGAAATCGCCGTCATCACCCTCAGGACGTCCAGTGAGTCATGTCTATATTCTAATCAAGTAGGAAAGGCTTTCAGGAAGCCTCGTACGGCTCTTTGTAGCCTCTGAGGACTTCTGCAAGCCGCTGCTGTAAGCTGAGAGGAAGCTGGGCCTAAAACCCACGCTGCAAAGCTCAAGTCACAACCCGCAGCCCCAATCACGTGTGCAGGCATAATCACAAGCTTTGGAAAATTCTGCTTCCTCTCAGCTGATTATTAACGTGTTTTTTTAGTGTAGCCATTCCTGCCGCATCTCCCTGCTCATTTATCAGCTGGAAACGTACCTGTCTCTGTAGGCCTGAGCCCAGTCATTCCCAAAAAACCTTCCAGTAGGCTGGCGCGTGTCTTTGTCCTCGTATTTGTACTTGCCAGTCAACAGCCCTCCTGCAAAGGGTCAGCACCACGTTTAGGGACGGGCTGGCTCTTCTACAGCCCCCGTTTTGTGTGTTTGTGTCTCAAAGTCTCACCCTTTCCCTCCTCATACCTGCAAGGGGATTGTAGGCATAGAACCGCAGGCCGTAGTATCTCAGGCAAGGGAACAGCTCAGCTTCCACCTGGCGGGTGGTCGCGTTGTACATGCCCTGCACAAAGACGAGGGAGACAACTTCAAACACCAGTTTGTGCCCGGGGTCATAAGCACCAGGAAAAGGCTTCTCTCCACCCTTCCCTGACAACACTCTTATCCAGAAGATAAGCTTCAGGTCACGCAAGGTTATTGTCTGCTTAGGAACAGACTTTCTAAAGGATTGCAAATAATGCAAAAATTTGAAGTTCCGTATGAAGGGAGTCACTGACTCACATGACAAATGCACACTCAGCTTTTTCTGAGAGGCGACCTCTCGGCTTTCTAATCACGCGCGTCCTTTCAGGACTTCCCAGATAACAGCAGCAGCTTCCTTTTCTGTCTGTCTGTCCGTCACACTGCGGGCTGGTTCAAGATTTGGGCCTCCCAGGCCTGTCCCTGTGGTGCCTGACCATTGCTGCAAGGACACAGAGAGCCATCTGCGTGCTCTTCTGATCTGAACCCTCCTATTCTGAGCGCGGGGCTGACAACAACAACACCGAGGTCGCGGGTTCAATTCCCCATGTGTTGCCTGGTCTAGTCGAGAGGTGGCGTCCCTGCCCATGACAGGGAGGTTGGATTAAATGATCTCTAAGGTCCCTTCCAACCTAGGCCATTCTATGATTCTATGATTCTTTTAACTTGATTCATCTCAGCCTCTAAAAAAGATCTGCTGGAACACAGCAAGCCCCTGCCTCTCACCTGGTACACAGTTGGCATCACCCAGTTGTTGTATTTGCAGATGGTGCAGATTTCAGCAACCTCCCATGCTGCGTAGTTTGATAGACCAAGTTCTTTAAATTTTCCCTGCAGAGGAATAAAAGGGTATTCAGGTCCAGGTTTTAAAAGGGAATTTGGACTTAGTGCAAGATGCATGTGGTGAAAGTGACAGTCACCAAATTTTAGTTGAGTTCTCTTCTCATCCCTGTCCACCTCTTCTAGGTGACTGCGAATTATAAGAATGGACAAAAATATTTCCCCTGGCTTATGTTCATTTAAAATGGCACTATTAGGTTAATGTAATTCAGGAATTCTTCTCCACCCCTGACCAGCACTAATCTTAAGCCAGTCAGTTAACAGAGCTGAAAGCAAAGTTCAGATGTTCTAATGTTTCCAAGAGCTTTTGAGAGCAAAGTGCACCACATGAATACGCAACAGAGCGTCAGTTGTTTGGCTTTGCCCTGGTCATCTGTGTGCCCTCTTCCTAGTGCACAAAGCCAGCGCTAAAGGGCACAATAAGCAGCCCTTGAAAAGGTGGTGGGAGGAAATCAAGAGAAGGTCCAGGCTTGGGCTTCCTGCTTTACTTCTTTGTGCAGCTCGTTGCAGGCACGCAGCGTCTCCTCCACCGGGGTCCCATGGTCAGGGGCATGGAGGTAGAAGAGCTCCACGCTCGTCCGCTTCAGCCTCTCCAGGGACGTGTTCAGCTGTGATCGCACACTCTCAGGTTTCAGTGTCTTCCCGTCCCAGGGATTGGCCTTGGTGGCGACTTCCACTGGCAGAGAGAAAGAAAGAATGAGCAGGGCCATCTCCACCTTCAGGAACAGAATGGGGATAAGGAGCCTAACACAAGCAGCGCTCAAGCATTTTCAGGGAAGGCCCTTCTCCTCTGGAGCCACATCTGCCTAGCAGGGGAGGCCCTTCTTTGAGTGTGCAGGTCTGCCCTAGAGAGGCCTTTTTCCTCAAGGCTTGTGGGTTTCCCTTCCCCTCAGGGATACTGTGAGCCTGGCAGAGAATGCCCTTCTCAGGGAACGGGCTAGAGGGAATGTCTTTCTCCTCAGGGATGGCGTCAGCGTGGCAGGGAAGACCCTTATCCTCAGGGAATGGGTTGGAGTGAACACTCTTCCACCTCAGGGGTTGCATCAGCCTGGCATGGAAAAACCTTCTCCTCAGGGAACAGGCTGGGGGGAATGCCCTTCTCCTCAGGTACAGCTCAGCCCAGCAGAGAAGACCTGTCTCATCCAGAAACAGCCCAGGGAGAAGGCCTTCCCCTCAGGGACTACGTCAGCCCGGCAGGAAAGACCTTTCTCCTCAGGGAACAGGCCCAGTTGAATGCCCTTCTCCTCAGATACCACGTCAGCCTGGCAGAGAAAACCTTTCTGCTCCAGGAACAGCCCAGAGGGAAGGCCTTCTCCTCAGGCACCACATCGGCCTGGCAAAAAAGACCTGAGAACCTGCCTGGAGGAAAAAACCCTT